GTCCATGATCTCGGACATGATCAGGGACCCGCTGTCCATGGATACTGCAAGGAGCAGATGGGCACCGCTGAAGAGCTGGACCTGCTATGGCCCCGCTCCCGTGCCCTGTGCCCGGAGGAGCGCTCACCTTCTCCGCTGAGCACGATGGAGGGGACGCGGTCGCAGTCGCAGGTGCAGGCGTGGGAGCCCTCTGTCAGCTGCGAGTCGAACAGGGTGGCCTGTGGGACAGCACGATCAGGGCTCAGCTGAGCAGGAACCCACCCTGCCCTGCCCTGCCCACGGCCCCCACCTGGCTGTCTCCCCGCAGCCCCATCACAGTCTCGTACGATGGGGGGAAGTCAGTTGGGTAGAGGGGCACGGGGCTGTCCATGGAGCCGTTGTAGGTGATGCTGCAGAGGCAAGAGCAGAAAAGCCACACTGGGTGGGACAAGCCCAAGCTGGGGGCACACGGGCCCCCTGCCCTACCAGCCTTGCTCGCAGCTGGTACCTCTGTGCATCCGTCTCAGAGCTGCAGGTGTACTCAGGTGGGTAGTAGGGGGGCGGTGGCACCGGGGGAACAAATTCCTCGAAGTCCATCATGCTCTGCAGAAAGGTGTCAGGTGGGGATGTGCATTCCAATGTCACAGAGCTCGAGCGTTGTGGGACCAGCTGCAGGGAGAGGGGAGAGCTGAGACCTCCTGCCCGAAGATCCAGCAAGGGATGTGCATCCTGGGCTTTAACTGCACCCAGCTGGGGCCAGGTCCTGCCCTGGCACCCCAGGGACCAGCACAGCCTGGGAACGCTGCTCCACAGCCCTGTCTGCTCCTGGGGCCAGAGCTGGGACTCACCACGTGGACGATGTCAAGGGAGAAGATCTGGATGCAGCACACGACAGCAGAGAGTGTGCAGATGATGGTGGAGAAGATGGTCAAGCCACAGACACTGAAGAGGAGATCCTGGGGAGCAGTGGGGTGAGCTGCAGAGCCTGCAGAGCGTGGCCGGGTGTGCGGCCGCTTCCCAGGGAGCCCTCGCATCCCCCTGCTCCTCCACCTTGAGTGCCACACGGATGCTCCGGCAGTTGGGGTTGGGGAACATGGTCAGCATCTCGCTCTGCTGGCTGCAGGAGGCGGGTGGGGGCTCCGAGCGGGCCTGGCAGCAGACACACGTGTCCCTCTCCTGGGGACGAGAAACACCGTGAGGAAGCTCTGGATGCCGTGCTATCCCCTGAGAGCCACCAGCACATCCCCCCACCAGACGCCAGCTCTGCAGCTCCTCCCGTCCCCAGAGCCCCACAGCCAGGGACGAGCCGTGCTCGGAGGTCCGGGGGTCGCTGGGGCTGCCCCTGCCCAGCCTCACCCTCTCGCAGGCCTCCAGGGTCTTCACCAGCTGCGCGTTCTGGCACGACAGGATGGAGCCGGCGAGGCTCAGCATGACGCCCAGCACCGACAGCAGCGTGAAGAAGGCGATCTGCAGTGGGAGGAGAGGGGCTGCCGGCTGCACAGGGCCGCGGAGCAGGGAGCCGGCACACGCTGCTGCGCACCCGAGGGCACGAGCGGGGGCTGCTCGGCCTCCCCATCCTGGGCTCCCCCGCCTCTGGAAGGGTGTCCCTCCCAACACCTACCACCAGGGTGAGCGGCCGCTTCCAGGAGATGATGCCGACGAGTCCGGACAGTGCCAGCTGCAGATTCCCAAGCCCCGGGGTGAGCACAGGGAGAAGGCGCTGTTAGGCAACGGGGCCCCGAGCAGCCCCTGCCCATAGGCAGAGCCCCCCAATTCCCACAGGCCTGGAGCCAGCCCGGGAGCAGCGGGGCTGTAGGAGCAGCCCTGGCGCCACAAGACGAGAGAAACTGCTGATTCAGGGCCTGGGGACTGCGGGCTGCTCTGGCTGGACAGCAAACCCATGCCAGGATCCGTGCTGCAGGGTCACCATGGGGGACCCCAGGTGCTGCCCTCACCCCGATAGGCAGCAGACAGAGCAGAGCCCCCGTCACCACCCTGTCATCACTGTGGTGCCCCCACACCCCTCCCTGCCCTTGGCTGCATATCCCGGGCAGTTCCCTGCACCGCTCGGGGGTCCCCATCCCTCACAGTCACCCTGGGGGAGCCCTTGGGATTTTCCCACAATGCACCGCGGCAGCCACGGGCCGAGGGTGGGGGAGCAGCGGGGCTGCCCTCCCCAGGGACCGGCGGCAAGCTCGGCCCCCG